GCACATCCCAATGCCTGATCACCCTCTCCGTGAGGAAGAGCTTCCTGAGATCCAACCTAAACCTCCCCTGACGCAGTTTCAGGCCATGTCCTCTCATCCTATCACTGGTTGCCTGGGAGAAGATCCAGACCCCCACCTGACTGCACCCTCCCTTCAGGCAGTTGTAGAGAGTGATAAGGTCCCCCCTGAGTCTCCTCCAGGCTAAACACCCCCAGCTCCCTCCGCCTCTCCTCACAGGACTTTCCCTCCAGTCCCTTCCCCAGCCTCGCTGCTCTGCTCTGGACCCGCTCCAGCCCCTCAGGGTCTTTCTTGCAGTGAGGGGCCCAGCCCTGCACACAGGGCTCGAGGGGAGGCCTCACCAGGGCTGAGCACAGGGGCAGAATCACATCCCTGCTCCTGCTGGCCACACTGCTCCTGATATAAGCCAGGATGCCATTGGCCTTCCGGGCCACCTGGGCACTCTGCTGGCTCGTGTCCACCCAGTTGTCAGCCAGCACTCCTGGATCGCTCTCTGCCAGGCTGCTCCACGGGATTTCATGTGGTGTGTACTGCAACTGGTTATATGAAAGTCAGTGGTCTGTTTATCAGTACTTTTACTTTGGTCCTAAAAGTTGTAGCAGTTCTCTCTTACCACGTTGTTAACATTGTATTACTTGCAGAAAATAGAGCATTATTTTTAAATTTAAGGTGACATTTGGAAATAGCTACTAGCTTGGTGACACTAACTGTGTCCTGGTTTTGGCTGGGATAAAGATAATTTTTCTTCTTAGTAGCTATTAATATTGCTGATTTTTGGATTCAGTATGGGATTTGGTCTACAAATAGTATCTAAACTTCACTAATCTGGCCTTGTATAAGATTGATGAAAAATTGAGAACTCCTCCGATCTGTAGTGTATTTTTGTTGATGTTGCTTTCTTTGTGTCTTATCATGAATTCTCAAGAGGTGTTGAAGTCTAGGTTTCCATTGCAAAACCATTTTGAGGTTTTATTTTTTTCTAGTGCCCTGCAGTAAAAGCCAATGCACAATTAAAAAAGAGCAAAGAATTTGGAATAAAAAGTAGGGACTGAGATAGTATATTTTTGTGAGACTAACCCAAAATTTGGACAAAATAAAAAACAGCTCTCATGTTTACAGAAGCATTTGCATTCCTCTGTTAAAAATTTAGAAATCCTCTTTAACAGTCCTTAATAATCTGATGCTTTTACTGTATGCAGGACACATTCTTCTAATCAACTAGAACTTAAGATATTTGATTTTCATGTCAACAGTAAAATTTGACTATTGTACAAAAATAAATCACTCCACAAGCTCCTTACACATATGTTCCTTTAAACAGTTTAACACAGGTGAAAGCAATTTGCTGCAGTTAAAAAACACGTAGACTTGCAGTGAATATACCAGGAAGAGGTCTGATCTGTGTGTCAAAGTAATATTGGAAACATATTGAAAAGTCAACATACTCTTTTTTCCCTAGCGCTGGGCACTGCATATACTGTATTTAGTAGACGTGTATGGATTTCCATCTCCTTTCTTGCTAGATTGGAGGAGGGGAGGCGACAAAAGCCCTCTAGTGATCAAGTTGTTTTTCCACAGTGTAGTTCTAAGTTTGAATTGAAGTCATCTTTACCAAAAATAGGCTTTGTTAAAGTAAATATAAAATAATTCAGATGCAGTAATGGCAATTCCTTTCTTTAAAAGTAATTTTATCTATGCTTTCCAGAAATTGTTCATGTTAGGTGAACACTTCATGTTGTAGGCACAGGACACTGGCTCATGGAATATTCATAAAGAAATACAATTGAAAACAATGCTTGATTAAATTTGATACAATATTTTATTAAAGCCACTAATTTCTTCGTGGTTTGCCTTCTAGTCATACATTTTTTAGATGCATATGACATATTTTACGTCCATCTGAAAACACATGACTATATTTCCTGACTACAGAGGATTTTGTCAGCACACATTATTTTTAACAAATGTAATCATTTTCCTGCTTCATACTCTGGCGTCTTATGAGCTAAGTAATTTTGAGTTTCAGTACTTCTTTTTCTGATGATCTAGGCCTGTATCTTGAATATCTGAAACACTGATAGACAATTTTTGCTTACATTGGACTGCACAGGCTTCTAAGGGATTCATCAAAGGTTGGTGAACCTTTGGTTGAATTCCCTTTCCGTGTCCCCTGCCGTGATCTGCTAAGACCTCCTAGGAGATGGCCAAACACGGTTTCCATTCCTATCCCTTTTCCATAATGGACCAGCACACCCAGCCTTCTGACAGGATGCACAAGCCATACTGCCTCTGTGCCAGGACATCCTATGCCACGCATATTCCCGTCACATAGTAGATGCACATCTCATCATCATCATCATGACTAGGCTTCGCGAACGAAGATATGAGAAGAGCTCTACCCACACTTGCTACAAGCGCGCTGATGGCTAAAAAGGCAGTTGCGGGATAGGCAAGTCCAGTTGCAAAGCACATCGGAAAGTCTCCTTAGGCGGTATTGGTGAGGCACGGTTCTTTCTGCGTTGTCTTTTGTCCTCGAGACTAATTCTACGTGCGTCCTCAAAGGAGGCAGCAGCGTTATGGATGATGTGTCTCCACATCTCCCGATTGGAGGCCAGAGTGGACCACTGATGGTAGTCAATATGTCCAAAACTGAGGTATTGTTTCAGAGAGTCCTTGTATCTCCTCTTAGGGGCTCCTCTGTTGTGGCAGCTGGTGGCGAGTTCACCACAGAGCACAGCCTTAGGGATCTGCAGTACTGGCATTTGCTGCACTGCTGCAGTGAGCCGCTTCTCCCTCTTCTCTGCACTGGTGAGGCCTCACCTGGAGTACTGTGTCCAGTTCTGGGCTCACCAGTTCAAGAAGGACAAGGAACTACTGGAGAGAGTCTAGCGCAGAGCCACTAAGATGATGAGGGAACTGGAGCCTCTGTCATATGAGGAAAGGCTGAGAAGCTGGGTCTGTGTAGTTTGAAGAAGAGGAGGCTGATGGAGGATCTCATCTATGCTTATAAATATCTAAAGTGTGGGTGTGAGGAAGATGGGGCCAGGCTCTTCTCAGTGGTGTCCAGTGATAGGACAAGGGGCAGTGGTCACAAACTGGAAAACAAGAGGTTCAGCTTAAACATAAGGAAATACTTATTTACTGTGAGGGTGACAGAGCACTGGAACAGGCTGCCCAAGAGAGGTTGTGAAGTCTCTGTCTCTGGAGGCTTTGAAACACCGCCTGGACGCATTCCTGTGTGATCTACTCTGGCAGAGTGGTTGGACTAGGTGATCTTCAGAGGTCTCTTCCAACCCCTGACATTCTGTGATTTCCCCTTACTCAAGGGGTATGTGCTGCATCATCCTCGGAGAACAGTCTGGTGGGGATGAGGCTGCTCAAACCCTGCTCTTTGCACCTCACAGGAGAGGTGAAAGCAAGCAGAGGCTGAAACGGTTGTTTGTTCAGCTTGGGTTTTTGTCTGTGACCCACTGATTGAGAACCTCTGTGGCATCCTGCAAGCAGTGCAGGGGTGGGGTGGGAGGCAAGGTGCTTTGTGTTGCTTCAAATTTGAAGGCAAGAACCCAAGGTAACACTTTGACATATAAAATGACTTTGAAATCTATATTAGCTTTGGCTTCTCTATTTATAGAAATGAATTCTGTGAATCTGCCTTACCACCTGTGTTTGACACCTTTTAACCCTTTGTACCGTTTTAGTTGTTTATGGGACAAGAAGCGGTTTTCGTTCAGGTGGGCTAGTTCAGAACTGGTTGTTTTACTCACACAGTGTTCAAAATCACTGAATTGAAAGAATTTCTTTTTTATTAGTAGTGAAGTTTGCTAAGGAATCTTAAATTTCAGTTTCTCTAGTTTTATACTCCTGGTTTTAGACATATGTTTCACAGTGTTACAGCCTGGTGTTTCTTGGATTAGAGCAACAGTTGTGTGGTAAACTGTGCAGTCTGCATCCAGTTGCTAGACACCCTTTACGGAGTGTACCTCTATATTTTGTGTCTCATGCTGCCATCTAAAGGCCATGTAGGCTGAAAAAGTGGCTATAACCTTCTTCAATACTCTTTTTTCTCCTTACTGCCTTTCCCTTTGGGAAGTCAGCAATTCGTGGATGAGAAAGGTGTGCAGGGAGTAAGAGCAGCCCTTTGATGTAGTATATTTCACCTAAGGGGACAGAAGAATCTTCCAGATAAGTGAGAAATTAGAATGTAAATCTGAATAGCAGCCTTTGAGGAAAATGCAGTTGCGATGTATTTGCGCAAAAGCCAGCAAATAAGAAAGTGAGATTAGAGGATTTGAGGCTACTCTTGAAAGAGCAAGTTAAGGAGTGTAGTGCTTAGAGAACTGAAGAGTTTCAGTTGAAACTGTTAGCAGTGAGGGAGTGTGCAGTTCAGATTCTTAAAGGTACCAAAGTCCTTGACTCCTACTGATTTAAGGATTAGTGCTTTATAATAGAACTTGCTTTTTAAGATTTTCCCTAAAAAGGTACAAAATAACATGAATTATTTTCGCCTTTTTTCTAATTTAACTATTTTTGCATTAATGGGTGTTTCATTTTTCCTGGACTAAGGGAAAACGGACAAGAATTTGGTGTTAATTTTAAGAGCTTGTGATATTAAATAACATGCACATAATTTATATATTTCAAGATTTAAGCATTCAAAATTTTATCACAAAAATGTTCCTTTCCAGAATAAAAATGCATTTATTTTAGTCTGTAAACTGTATTTGCTTAGGCTTAATTCTATAGCTCCTCTCTTACACAGATGTTTTGAACTACAAGTATGGTAAAGAAATAGTGGCAGAAGCAAAATATTTTGGTATTTGTCAATATAGTACTGTTGGCATTGACTGACAAAAGCAGGTATTATAATGAGGACCCATTTGATCACAACTTTATTTTACAATGTATGAGTTGTTTTTCAGGCTAGTTTCCAGCAAACCTTGTGTAATAGAGAAAGAAATTAATCTTGCACGTTACTTTGACAGGCTCATGCAAGCAAAGACCTGGAGGAGCAGTTGCGGTCTGTGTCCAGTGTGGATGAACTCATGACAGTACTTTACCCAGAATACTGGAAAATGTTCAAATGTCAGTTGAGGAAAGGAGGTTGGCAACACAACAGGGAACACTCCAGCTTTGACACAAGATCAGATGATTCCCTGAAATTTGCCGCAGCACACTATAATGCAGAGATCCTGAAAAGTAAGTACAGGACACAAAACACGTTCTAACACACAAGAAATTAAAATCCAAAAGCTTCTCAGTTGCGTCAAAAGTATTTTAAAAGCTAAGCATTGTCAATAAACCTGCTTCAGTGGTTTGATTTGATGTCACATCTATAATATAAAATTTTTGACAGTCAACCGGCATTAATGAAGTAAATTGCACCGCAGATGTATTTGTGGAACGTTGCGTTGTAAGACAGGAATAGACTGCTTTCTTAACTCAGTAGAGAAAGTTAAGTGTTTGTCTTAAGGTATAAGGAATCCTGCTTTGTAGAGGCTGTAAAAATTTTCAAAAAAGCAAAGAGGACAGTAATAGTTGGATTCATTGAACTGTTTCTGTTTGTTTTCTGCATCACAGATGCTATTGTTTTCTTCTCTTAGGCACTATTGCTTTAGGAGGCCAAATAATCCCATTGTAGCTTTTACCTGTTAGAGGAGGACAGTTGTCATCATGTTATGCTCAAACCAGGAAAAAAGTAGCTTTCAAATATTTTAGTACCATTTAGTGTTTCAGATGGACCGGATAAAAATGTATTAGCTTACAATTTAAACAAATGCTTACAGGCAGAGAAACAGGATTTATTGCAGGAGATGTATTTTCTGACATAATGTTGAAAATCATGTACCTTAATGGTGACTTTAAGGTACACATTTGGTGAAATTTCCATTTTTGCTGAATAACCTACCAAAAACTGATGCCAAGGGAGAATAAAGGAGCTACAAGTCACATTGCTGTTTAGTATAAGATTGTGCATGGTTAAAGGCTGTATAACACAGTGTGAAATATTTGCCCAAATCTGCATGGATAATCTAGGCACAAATACTATCTTTCAGATTAAATCATATGGTTTATATAATTGCTAAATAATAACCTTTTACCTTAAATTATGCTCTAGTAGTTAACAAAGTGAACATGTATTGAAATTCACATTAAGCTTGCAGGCATCAAATTTAATGTTTCTAATCTATTGTATCCAAGTGAAAGTACTGTGTGGGACTGGTTTAAATGACTTTGCAGAGCTTCTCTAGACCTCGCTCAAGGTGAGACTTTCCCCAGCCATAGGAGGAAGGACATGTACAGCTTGCGCTGCTGCCTGGCAGGTTGAGGGGAGGTGATTCTACTGCTGTACCTCTGCTCTGGAAAGACCCCAGCTGCAGTACTGTGTCCAGCTCTGGACACAGACCTGTTGGAGCAAGTCCAGAACAGGATCACAGAAATACTCAGAGGGATGGAACACCTCTCCTGTGAAGAATGGTTGAGAGTTGGGGCTGTACAGCCTGGAGAAGGCTCCAGGGAGACCTTATTGTGGCCTTTGAACAGTTAAAGTGGGCCTATAAAAAGATGGGGGCATTCTTTTCAGCAAGGCCTGTTGCAGCAGGACAGGGGGCAATGGTTTTAAACTAAAAGCAGTTACGTTTAGACTAGATATAGGGAAGAAATTTTTTACAGTGCTAGTGTTGAAACACTGGAGCAGGTTGCTCAGAGAGGTGGTAGAAGTCTCATCCCAGCAAACATTCAAGATTAGGTTAGACGGGGCTTGAAGCAACCTGATCTAGTAGATGTCCCTGCTTATTGCAGAGATATGGGACTAGAAGGTCTTTAAAAGTTCCTTCCAACCTCAACTATTCTGTGATTCTGTGTTCTAAGATCTGTCCAACCTTTTTAGGTTCCCTCTTAGCTCCTCGGTGACTTATCTTCTGCTCCATGACAATGTCACAAACCTATTGTCACTAGCTAGAAATTAAGAGACTTATTTCACCAGGTAAAGTGCGTGAATCTTGCAATGCATATTATGTTTCTAAACTTAAAATCCTACTAATTTACTACAGGAGAGTATTGTTTTTAAACAGGTACTTTATAACACATGAAATTCCCTATAACTTGGCAGGTATTGATACTGAATGGAGAAAAACTCAGTGCATGCCACGTGAAGTGTGTGTGGATGTGGGAAAAGAGTTTGGAGCAACTACAAACACCTTCTTTAAACCCCCATGTGTATCCATCTACAGATGTGGAGGTTGCTGCAATAGTGAAGGACTCCAGTGTATGAATGTCAGCACAAATTACATCAGCAAGACAGTAAGTTCTCACTCTTATTACAGTCCAAGTGTTCCTTGCAAATCCATTTATGATCATACAATATTTTAAACCTTCTTATTGCTACTATGAGTAGGGAAAAAAAATCAGGCAAGCACTCTGGAAAACTGGCCTGTAATTTTATTAGTGAAGACTGTTTTAGGACATGTGCAGACAGGATACAAATTGCAAATAAAGCCTTTTAGGAACTGAAATTTGTTGTGTTAAGATACATTAGTATAATGTACCTGTTTGTTTTGTTTTGGTTTAATGCATCTTCCTTAGGTGTATGTGCAGGTTTTATTCTTCAGTTTCAGGTAGGAGTGTGCAGATACAATGTATTGAGCCTGTGAGCCACCTTGAAAGGAAAAGCATGCACACGTTATTCTATTTCAAGTAGATATAGCAATTAACACAATTATCATGTAAAAACAGTCATACTTCAAAATCTTTGCTGGGTTATTTTGCTTTTGTTACAGTATTTGATAGGGTTTTTTTATTGGTTGTGGGCTCTTTGACTTCTTACCTCATCTTTCTCATACTTGGAAGAAAACTAATTTTAGTGTAAATCTGGCTTCCTTTTTCAACTAGACTCATCTAGCTGAAGATGCAATACGTATTTATAAGTACGATACACAACTGCACAGCTACAAAACTGTAGCCCACAGAAATTTTGTTCCTTTATCATGAAGCTTCTTAGTTCTCTGAGCTTTCCTGAGAGGGGATTAGAAACGGGGAACATAAACACAACATTAAAAAACCCACTTGTTTTTTAAAATACATTTTCTGTCCTCATTTCTCACCAGATATATCTGTCTGAAATGGTAGGTTGTACCAAAAATTTTCAATGCTAAATTTAAGCTAGTAGTAGACAGCCACACACAGCACAGGAAAAATATAACTCAAATAGCTTAAACAAGGAAAACTACAACACTGGTTTTGTTCAAGTCCATAGTTACTCCCACAAACAGCTGTCCTAGTTCCAGTTGCTTGAAAGATAATTTTCATGTTATAAACTAAGATATATTACTTTTTTTTTTTTTTGGTCATGGTATTCCATTTAGCACGGATTTCCTGGTCTTTGAGCACCATATCACTTTGGAGTAAATAATCCATTTCTATTCATCTTTCTGTTCGTATCTGTTGAGTGAAGAAATTTTTTTGCCTAGCAGAAAATGTTTAGTCCTGAGGGGATTTTTTAAGCTCTTGATGTTGTTGATGATGATATGATATAGGAGTAGTTAAAGATTTGAGAGAGTCTGAGAAGGAAAATGTTAAAGGACTCATCAGAAGGAAGAAAGAGGCAATACCACTGTTTTGTTTTCTTACCTATTCTGTAAAAGCAAGCAACTTAATCTCTGAGTTTTCTGTCTTGCTTCTGCTTTCCAGTTTTATCTGGTCCTTGACAGAATGAAGTTTTATAAAAAAAAACCTAAATAAAGGAAGAGAGCTATAGCTATATCTCTTCATCTGTCATCATCTCAAATATTTTTAAAGTTATGTGACCACAGCTTACCCTATATCAGATGAGAATTAGGAAGAAAAAAGTATTGGATCCAAGACCCTTCTGTGGAATTCAGGTACCCTACACACCTATTTTCACTACTTTTTTATTTCCTGAATGAAATCAGAACAAATGATTAGTAACTAGGCATCTTCTGTTTTTTCGTAAGCCACTATCTTTGTAGCGTTATTTTTGGTGCATAAACTCTGTAGGATAACTACATACTGGTCACTCTGCAGAGAAGGTGCTCAATGGGAAATTAACTTTTCGGCTGGAGCTCTTACTGTAAGGGTAACCTCTAGCATTGCTTCCAGACATTAAAATCTAAAGGAAGTGGATATCAGTTTTCATCAAAATTAATTAACAAGAACTAAGCACAGAAATTATTTTTATGGGGAGTAAGTCACTGATTGTCAGGAGAATGGACTAGGTCAGATGTGCCTAGATTGGGTTGTGGAACGCTGTGGTGGTCTAGAGAGAGGTCAATAATTCTCTAGTTCAGGACACGTTCCTCCTTTTTAGCTACTTTATTAAAAAAAAAAAAGTATTCTGCTTTGCTTTTAATAAATTTTTTTTCCACAAAAAAAAAGTGTTTCTGCAGTGGCTAGGGAGTGTTTATACAATCTTGATTAGGATGTGGTACAACATCTGTGAAAACATTTGAGGGCACCGTAGGCTAATTCGTAAAATGCAGTAGATCTTTTTCTTCTCCGTCTTCCATGACACTATATAATAGGCCAGCCTTGTAAGTGGTGGCTTGTCTAATAAAGACCTATGGGGAAGGTGGTTGGTTGGTTTTTGGTTTTGTAGTGTGGTCAAGTTGTTTTTTTTTTCTCTAATTCATTATTAATCAAAAAGCTGCTCTCCATTTCCATGACATGAGTAATTCAGCAGCAGTTACAAAGACTGGAACTACCTGGTATATCAACAGCCTGTCCCTCAGCTGTACTGTTATGCCCTACCTATAGGTACTTGGTTATAGGTTGAAGGCAAGCAGTGAGCAGATGTCAAAGAGTCATCTCATTCCATTCTTCCTCATGGCTGGCAGGATGGACAGCTTTTTGACTTATTTCAGCTCATTTGATGTAAAGGTCCTAAATCTTCTTGTTTCATGGTTACAGTAATAGTCCCTCAAGGGAAAACATCTTTCCAAGCAGTTTGAAATTAGCTTTAGAGGAGCTTTTCTCACAGGAAACAAGTTAACAGCTTGACATTGTTTGCCATATTTGAGATGTACATGGTGTTCCTTTACACAATTTGGAGATGCATATGTCAAAAGAATTTTCAGTCATTTTGAACTTTACTATTTATGCCTTTTCCCATGCATTTTTCTCTGTTAAACTGATGATCGTAATGATATAGTAGAAGTACTGTTAATAGTGGGACATATATCAGTATCGTTTCCAAATGTTTTTTGTTAAAATTTCTGGAAAGAAAGAAAAAGTGATTCAAATATAAAAAGGGAGAATAAGGAGACAAGCATATTAAACAGATATGGAATGTATTATATCAGATAAGTTAGTTGTTGTATCACACATAAGCCTTGAAATACTGTTTTTTTCCAAAAAGATATATAGTAAAATAAATAATGGCGATGTACCATTTTTCAAATAGATTATTTTCATTGTTTCCAGTATAGAGATGTTTAGAGCTTTGAAATCAAGCAGTCATATATCCTTAGCTTAAAAATCTGCCCAGACACATAGTACTTTATTACACTGGTTATATTTGGCTGGCCTTACTGACACTTTAGGAAGTGCAAAGGTTACAAGTGATGGAAACTGAGAGTCAATCAATTTAAGGGAAACTTGCCAAAATAAACTGCAGACCATTAGAAGAACATGGTACAGTTAGTGTAAATCTCGGGGAAAACAAAATCATACATAAATCCTGTATTTGAAAATTATCCAGAATGATAAGCTTCCCTCATCGTGATATGAAAATACCAGTTTTCATTATTTTATATTTCAGAAGTCAGTGAACATAATAATTTTATGTGTGGTGATACATATAATGATGGTGCTGAATAGACTAGTTTAGCCACTGAAGTGAAGAAATACTTTGTATAGAAATCAACAGTTTTTCTGGCAAGTATGGCATGAAGTCCTAATCTAAACGAGGAGCTATTAATGCAGTGAATCAGATGCCTTTCTAAGGATCAGTGAGGAGGAATATATGGGAAATATTTTAAACAGGAATTCTTATAGTGCTTTTAGTCAAGTATTCAGAGATTCCTGTCTGCTGTTAGGATATTTTTCTTTTTTTCCAAATGATTAAAGTCATGCTGAACTCTAGGTTGTGGACCAGAGTCTGGTCCTGCCCTTGTTTCTCTTCTCCACTCCAGCTCTGTAGCTGGCTAAAGGAAGAGTGCTGCCAGTGTGGGAACTAAAAAGAGCCTACTACGGGGTGGTCTGTCGGACCACGCAGCTCTGGCCTGGATGCTCTTGCAGATGGCTGAGATAATAACAAGGCTGGGAAGAAGGGAGACTGATGTACTTGTAATTGCAGGCTGCTGAGTGCAAAAGGCCAGGTCTGGTTGGGTAGAGCATTTCAGAGACACCTTTGCCTGGTGCCCTCTTGCTGTTTTTCTCACCTGAGAAGTACATTACAGAGCATATGCACTGATCTTCAAAGATTTAAAAATTGACCTGTAAAAGAATGAATGGCCAGGAAAAAAAACATAGTTGCACAGGAAATTGTAAAAGTGATCGAATTATTCGCTTACCTTTGTATTAGTCGGAAAAGTTCTTTAATTATATATATTTCTGTGCCGGGAGGCAGAAAAATCAAGCATCAGAAGCTGATGTTCAGGTCTGTCGGATACGCTGCCTTTTAATTTTGACTGATGCAGTGGAATGAAGGTTAAGTATTAAGCCTAAAATACAACTTATTACAGATTGTGTAATCCAAATGTATGAAGAAAAATTACCTTCCTTCATTTCTGAAGATGAACATTTCAAGTTTGGCTAGGTTGAAAGACAGATATAAAGTCATCTTGATAATGCTCAGTTAGGACTACAGAAAATAAATATCTGTAAATAGAATTAAAATAAAATGTCCTGTAACCAAAACTTTTTTAAAAAAAAATCCATATACTAACAATGATTGTCATGACTTTTAGCACACATTTTCTATTTAGGTCACTCACTGTACAAGACTCTCTAATTTTTTCACGTCAGAGAAAAATGAGGCAAAAGTGTTTATAGTCAGTCATAATCTTGTTCAGTGGTAAACAACTCTAGTTTAAGTAGCCTAATAGTAAGATTGTCCCACATTCTCCATTGTAAACTCTTATCGTCATTCTCAGCCTAACTGTTCTTTAGCAGTAGGGGCTGAAATTTTGTCTGCCAGATGCCTGACTCGATTTGGTGTGTTGTTTGGGGGTTTTTATCATTTTTTTTTGCTTTAAAACTTCAGCAGAAGTTATGGTTCTGCTTTTTCTTAGACCAGAGTGAGAAAGAAGCATACATGGCTTTATCATTAAAAAAAAAATGGTCTG